GATGATTGCATACGTTTATAAGTAATTTGGAGGGACCCTCCATTAAAAAATTAAAATGTTTAATTCTGATAATTTCTCCATTATTTCTGCAGACGCAAGTCACTTTTGTAGAGAAACGCCAAATGATCAGTTTTCTAAACACAAAACATGGATATCTAATTCATTCGTGATGAGAGGAAGATTTCATACCTTTTGAATCAAAAAATTAATTTAAAAGTTCATCACTCATATAAAAGAAATTCTGAATGTTTGAATAATTAATCAAATGTGAACGAACTCTACATACAGCCTTCATTATATTCATTATTGATTTTATCTTATTTGTTTAAAGAGAACATTGCTTTGTTTTGAAAAATCCACCAAATTATTTATAAACAGTATTTTAAATTCCGCTTCTTTACATTCATTCGTTGAAATCTACCAAGATGTTGTAAGAAATCCACCAATATCTTAGGTTTCCACGTTTTCTGGATTTTCATTGGTTAAGGCTTTAACCCGACAGCCAATGAGAAGGCTTGGAGACATATGAATCCCATGGGAGGCGCGGTGAATGGTTCCGGCGGCTATAAAAGCTTGCACCGGCCCCACTCTCATCAGTTATGCTTTCCCCCTCGCGGGGGAAACACCTAGCCGTTTCTCCAGTCATTCTGTATTCTGTACATAGCAAATTTTTGTACATATCCAAATTGTACATACATATTAACTAAATAATCCACTGGATTTCCGAAGATGAGTTTATCTAGTCAAAATACATCAATGGGATCATGGGCATTTCCGCAGAGTTAATTCTAGTCAATTGTAAATACACTTGGAGTTTATAATATTTAGTCAACCTTTGTACAGCTGATGTCAAGAAGTATGAACATCAAGATGAGCAGTGAGAACATCTAGCCAAGATGGAAAGTATGCACATCTATGATGAGAAGAATGAACATCTAGTCAAGAAAAGAAGTTTGCAAATCAAGTCAAGATAAGAAGTTTGAACATCAAGTCAAGATGGAAAGTTTGAACATCTAGTCCAGATGAGAAGTATGAACATCTAGTCAAGATGGGAAGTATGAACATCTAGTCAAGATGAGAAGTATGAACATCTAGTCAAGATGAGAAGTATGCACATCAAGTCAAGATGGGAAGTATGAATATCTAGTCAAGATCGGAAGTTTGAACATCTAGTCAAGATGAGAAGTATGAACATCTAGTCAAGATGGGAAGTATGAACATCTAGTCAAGATGGGAAGTATGAACATATAGTAAAGATGGGAAGTATGAACATATAGTCAAGATGGGAAGTATAAACATATAGTCAAGATGTCTAGTATGAACATCAAGTAAATGAGAAGTATGAACCCCTAGTCAAGAAGGGAAGTATGAACATCTAGTCAAAATGGGAAGTATGTACATATAATGTCATAAAGTCTTTCAACAAAAATGGTGCAATTTTGATTTTAAGAAACTCCTAGAAAAGAGGAGGGCCGGATGATGCAATTTTAATCTTAAGAAACTCCTAGAAAAGAGGAGGGCCGGATCATGCAATTTTAATCTTAAGAAACGCATAGAAAAGAGGAGGGTTGGATGAAGCAATTTTAAGAAGAGGAGAGCTAACCAGTGCTGAATTAAACAATGAAAATTAGTAAATGAATGAATGAATGAATGAATACTGAATTAAAGTCTAAATGAATTACAAATTTTACTTTTAAAACTTCTTCTTTTTTCATTTTTTTATTTTAACGGATGGATCCGTGCAGTCGTGTAAATTTGGTGAACAAACCACATCTTTAGCTTTTCAGTATTAACAAATGTAATATTTTGCATTTTAAATTTGAAACATAATTTACCTGTATTATCGACCTTAGTTCTAATATTCTTGTAATATTGTAGTATTTACCTGTATTATCGAGCTTAATTCTAATATTCTTGTAATATTGTAGTATTTACCTGTATTATCGAGCTTAATTCTAATATTCTTGTAATATTGTAGTATTTACCTGTATTATCGAGCTTAATTCTAATAATCTTACATTTATTTCTAAGTAACCAATGTAAGTAAAATATTGTAGTATTTTATATATATTCCTGTACAATATTGTTCATGAAATAAGTACCAATGCAGCTGAAACCAAAGAACCTTGTACATACTTTTTTTGTAATTTTCTAGCTATTTATCTAGCTAATTAATGGTGAGTGTAACCTCTAGTCAATGGTTAACATTTTAAAGTAGCCTGTACATAACATTCCTTGTACATAACATTACTTGTACATAACGTTCCTTGAGCTTGTGCATAACATTCCTTATACATAGCATTCATGCAGTGCAAAATTGTCATTTTTTGTTGTTAAATTCCATTTGTAAATAAGTCGAAACCACGTTGATTTTATGATTTCATTAAAATATACACCTTATTTTGTATTAACAAACATTAAGATAATAATAAACATTCTGAATTTATTTTCTGATTGATCATGTATGAAAAGAAAATGAAAGTTAAAGGAGAGAAATTTAGAGAAGTTGAAATTTAGAAAAATTTAGAAGAAGAAAAAGAAATTGAGAATAAAATAAATTGAGATTTTGAGAAATTGAGAATTTGAGAAATTGAGAAATTGAGAAGTTAACCCTATTGCTGCTGGGGGGGGGGGTCAATTTGCCCCCCCCCCTAGTTTTTTTTTACATAATTAAAAAAGTATTGAAATTTTCTGACTTTTCCTAAATACCCATAGCAATCCCTGTTTGTCTAAAACCGTGCTTTCATACTCTATCTACCTGAGTCCTCAGGCACACTGCATAAATGAATAATTTTTCCTGTAACAAACTAAATCTTTGTTTTGACCCAGTTTCAGTTGTCAGATTTTTATAATTTTTAGCTTTTTGGGAAAGCAATGACATTATGACATAAAGAAACGGACTACACAAATTTTGCAAAGACATTTTTGCAAAATATTTGCACACAACCCGTCAAAAGAAATTTGCCCATGTTTAGTTACTTTTTAATTACTTTTTTTGCATATTTGATATGGCATGGTCAAGGGCTTTTCAAAAAAGTATATTTTTTAATTTTTGGGAAATTTTTCTTATATAAATGAATTTCTAGTGGCCCTCTATTTATTTAAAGGGACAACAACGTAATTTCTAGTGGCCCTCCATTTGCTTAAAGGGACAACAACGTAATTTTTAGTGGCCCTCCATTTGGAGAGTGGTTTGTCCGATTTACAAGAGAACTCTTTAAATCTTCTTGAAAATATTCTTTCTTTTCTGTCTGAAATTTTTAGTTTAATTGTGAGTAAAAATGTTGACATGAAAATAGACCGGCAACTGTTTTTACAGATTCGGATCATGCAATTTTGGGATTCGGATTATGCAATTATGGGATTCGGATCATGCAATTATGGGATTCGGATCATAAACTTATGGGATTCGGATCATACAATTATGGGATTTGGATCATGCAATTATGGGATTCGGATCATGCAATTATGGTATTCTGTGAAGATAGAAAATTGGGTTATCTTCCTTTTTATTACACAAATCAGGATTTAAAGGGTATTGTTGTGAAATATAATCTAGGATCACTTTAAATCACGTAAACATTCCCTTTAATATATTTCTGCTTACCCCGTCAAAATTCAATGTAAAGGCCCAAACTAACCATAATCTATAGAATTAGATAGAAATTGCAGTTTAAATCAATATTTCATTATTTTCAATAATTTTTAGATATTTTTAAAAATCAAATTTTTTAAATTTTGTAATTTCATTCCTGTACATGCTGTACAACCACAGGATGAGTACAAGTACAGCTACAAATACAGCTCCTGTATATCCATTGCCAGCATCCAAACCTGCAGTTTTCTTCAAAATTAAACTTTGAAATAAGATTTAAATTCAAATTTAACTGCCTAAATAAATGCATGATGAGTTTCAAAATAAAGGAATTCATAGCGTTAAATCCAAAGAGAACAGAATATATATTCTATTCTCTTTGGTTAAATCCAATTTTACATAATGTAAAAAGGTGAAATGTATCCAATTATTTACTTAAAATGTATCCTATTATTTATTAAAATGTATCCCATTATTTACTTTAAATGTATCCCATTATCTAATTGAAATGTATCCCATTGTTTACTTAAAATGTATCCCATTATTTATTAAAATGTATCCCATTATTTACCTAAAATGTATCCCATTATCTAATTGAAATGTATCCCATTGTTTACTTAAAATGTATCCCATTATTTACTTAAAATGTATCCCATTATTTACTTAAAATGTATCCTATTATTTACTTAAAATGTATCCCATTATTTAATTGAAATGTATCCCATTATTTAATTGAAATGTATCCCATTATTTACTTACAAATTTTCCCAGTATTTACCTAATTGCAAAAAATAAATTTCAACATAAAAGAGGGTTCTACTGAATTGGCATGATAACTATGATATCAGTTGTTGCTGTCTGTATTATTATTTCGTATCAGTTGTTGAGCTGTCTGTATTATTATTTCGTATCAGTTGTTGAGCTGTCTGTATTATTATTTCGTATCAGTTGTTGAGCTGTCTGTATTATTATTTCGTACATCAGTTGTTGTTTTTCTATTTCTTCTTTATAATTTAGAAATATTTTCTGGAACCTCTTCTCAAACAATTTAATGATAAATCTCTAAAAACTTTTGGATTTCAAAACAATAATTTTTTATAGCGTCAAAATAAAAAGTTCCCCTTTAATCATCAATGCAGTATCAAAAGACTTAAAATCATTTTAAATAGGATCAGATTATTCTTAAAATAAAAAATGTCTTGTTTACGTAATTTTGATCTATTTATGTCATGAATCTCTGAAAATATGAAAATCATATCTTTATTTAATTTCAAAACTTTTTCTTGAACCTTTCTTGCTTATAATCTGACCTTTTATTTGAAAATACCAAAAATTTTGCTCTTGTCCAAAAAAATCTAGAAAATTGTAAAGAATAACTGGACAAAAAATCAAAAAGAGGGTCAAAAGTTGTAATTACCTATTTCAAAAATTTAAATCAATTAAATATTGAAAAAATCCTGGGATAGAGTGATAATACCAGCGTCTTGTTTTATGATCATATTCCCTAAAAAAAAATTTAGATAAAATATATTTACGAATATATCTGGTTGAACAAAACAGCTCCAGCGTTGCGTTAACGAATGCATTTTCACGGAAAATTAAAAAAGTACGAACGGATACTTTTTAATAACTGTGGCAAAGGAACTGAGTCCTTGCAACAAACTCAAAATTTATCATCTTTATATCTTTTGAACTTAAGATGGTGTTAATTTTTGATATTTCAAACTTAGATTTTTTATCTAACAGAATTAGGGTTTCCAGCGGAATTGGATATTTCTTGCGTGCAATGCAAGCACGTTAATTCTGCGCAATTTCTAGCTATTCCGCGCAATTCTGTGCAATGCCGCGCAAGTCTTTGCAATTCCGAGCAACAGATCTTTAATTGGAAATACAAATACAGAAGTGATACATATCAAAGGTCTATGACATTGCAGGTTGCTGGTAGAGTTTGTATAAATATGAAATGAATTAAAAACTATTATCGAAAATATATACACTAAAATACAAAAAGCACAAACACACAACAAATACCTATATCTGTTAATAAAAAAAAAAGTCTTTGAAAGAAGTCATTCTGAACATCAGAAAAATGAAATTAAATAAAACCATAATACAGCATAAACACAAATATTTTCATGTAATATTACGCTAAAGTATTTATGGTTCAGATATTATTAAAGTATTAAAGCAGAACCTTAGGTTTTTTTTGCACTTTATGGTTGTACTTTTTCTTAAGTTTTGCACAAAACATTTTCTATGGACAGTTAAAAAAATATTATGAAGAGTTCCCTCTCAGAAGCACCTGGCTTAATTTATGGAATTATTTCTAAAAAAGATTATTATTTAATTTTTCGCATAACATTTTATTCTGAATTTTTTTTTTAACAGAGTTTAATCAAGCAAAATGGGTTTAAACTGAACTGTTTAAATATATATTTACACAACCATGCTCTGAATTTTAAATTTTAAGTTTAAAACTTGTTTTTAAATTTCGTACTTTAATTTATTATCATGCCGTAAAAAATTAAAAAAAATTTTTGAAAGGATTTTGGATTTAGTACAATTTAACAAACATTTTTAGCTTTTGTTTCACACAATATTAATGTCTCAATACATGAATAATATATTTCAGTGAATTTTCATGATCTTTTGTCTCTTTCAAAGAATGGCTTCAATTAAAAGCAAAAAAAAAATAATTTTCCTTTCAGATTACGATTTTAAAAAATTATGTTAAAAAACTTGTGTGTAAAGCTCATCCTGATTGTTTGTGGTTTTCAACAATGTATAAAAATAAAATTGCCTTCAGGGGAAAGTTGTTCACCTAATTTGTTCCCCAGCTCTCCAAGGTCCATAGGGACTGTATGGACCGTAGGGACCCATCCAGTAGGGAGATAGGGGCTCCTCCTTTAAAAACAAAATTATATGAAATTTCCTTTCAATATCATTTAAAAATACACTATTTGGGGTAACTCATGCGGGATTTCTTATTTGGGCCAATTAAGTGTTTCACATATAAGAAACCTACCAAATTCATATAACACATCATACGTACGTTAGCTGGGTACCCAGTCTTGACTGGAATATAAGAAAACCAACTCAACTTAAACTTTTTATACCAAGCTATTTATTCCAGAGGTTTAAACGAGAAAATAAAATAATAAAAGTTTGAAGCAAATTGCTCTTATAAGGTTTAAGAGTTATGATCGGACATACAAATACCCAAACATATCAACATTATAAATAAACATATAATTTTTATTTCCTAAAGTTATTAGTTCATCGTTAAAGAATACAAACAATCCACGCAACTTTCCTTTCATTTTCCTTTACCTTTTTCTTTTTACTTTTTTAGAATTGGGAGGATATATTCCCACAACCTCTATTTTTGGAGGGTTTTAAATATTTTCTCCTAAAACACTTCAATTGTATGTTTTTGTTATATTTCATAAATAAATATTTGCTTACTTCCTTATTTATTCTTAATGTATTGAAGCTGGAACATATTACTGCTTAAAATCCAATCTTGATACAGGGTGTCCCAATAAACATGGGAATTCAGTGACGAATTCGATATCGTCTTTTTATATAATGCTTTGATTTAGTCATGGTGATACCTACTGAGAAAGCTGTATTCCTCAAGATTTTCGTCTGCTATGTTCTCATTTTGTTTGTTTATGTTTTGACTGTATACTGTTGTACTTAGTAAAACAAGAAAACTAAAGTAAACAAACAGAGAAAACTTGTCCGTCTTCCCTGTTCATCTTGCAGAGACATCATAGACACATCTTTACACTACTTATGGCTTTGAAATCAAGCCTTACAATGCTAACTCATAACAAAGACGATATCCAATTCGTCACTGAATACTCATGTGTATTGGGACACCCTGTATCAGAGTCGTGCTGGGTTTTGAAAAAATTTAAATTCATATAAAATTATTTTATAAATTTTACCTCAGTACTATACGCATCTCCAGGCTGCCAGGGAGAGAAGCTTTTTTCATTGACACTAAATATATTGATTGTATATTGTATACAGGGTTTTGTTCGTATTTCGCGAAAAATAATTTCCCGAAAAAAATTTCAGCGAAAAAGTGTGGTAGTTGCGCAGCAAAATACTTGTGGATTTATCGGATTTGGGAGCTCAGCATTAGAAGTTTTATTAGATCATGATTAATAATTTCTCTTCCTTTACTTTATTAAATGTTTCAGGAAAAATTCTGTAAATTTCTCGGAAAATTTTCGCCTTTTATCGTGCGAAATTTTTACATTTTTTAGTAGATTAAAGCGAAATTTCGCGAAAAAAAAACTGAAATGCGAAATTTTCGACGAAATTTTCAGTTTATTTTAAGTTAGTTCCAAGTTAGTTAAAAAAGAAAAATTTCAGATAGCCGTTAGTTTAAAGCTAAGAACGGAAGGTTCGTTTTGTTATTGGTATTTTTCTTTTTTTTTAAAGTTACCATTAGTTAACGATCTCTTTTTTATTAACGGTATCAACGGAAAATATTCTGCTATTTGGTCGTCCAATCGTTAACAGTGTAAATGGTTGTTTGTAGTGCTAACGATGTTAGGTCTGCCAAAACTCCAGAACTTCCATAAACAATATTTAACTTTTAACAGTTTATCACATTGAATTAAATACCTTGAATTTAGTTGAGGAGACCAATAAGGTTGAGATATTGGTGGGTAGGGAGGAAGTGGATACCCTCCCTGTCCTCCACCTTGATGGGCCTGTGGTGGGTGGGGGTGGGGGGACCAGGGGGGATGGGGAATTTCGTATGGGAAAGGCCACATGCAGTATGGTACTGATCTATAAAAAAACATATCACTGATAATAATCATCAGGTGGTGTCAAAAATATTTTTCAGACCTTTAAATCTGAGAAATATGGCAGACAAATGCAAAACAAAATTTAAATATTTTTGACTAAAATATTGTAAAATAACAATATGAAATTTCAAGAAATTGAGAATTCCAATTTTAAAAAAACTAATTTCTGCCAAAAACAATAATATTGCTTCTCAGCTTGATGGTGTTATTAACTTTATATTCACGTCCTATAAGCTAGTGTATTGGTATGATTTTGTTTCTTGTATTTGTATTTATCTTGATATTTAATCTTAAAATATTTTTAAACGAAATAAATAAATAAATAAAAATTAACTTCTGTCCAAATAAAAAGGTTTTAATGTAGAAAAATCACTGAAATAGTCCATGTGCTGTGTGACAAGTAACAATTTTTTTTTATTTCTATTTTATTTTATTTCTATTTTTTATCAATTGACGTTCCGTTTCTTTACGTAAAGTAACCATTTCATACATTAGTCGGCGATAATATTAATTACAATGAAGACGACTTTGATGCCTAACAAACATTTTTCAAATTTATTAAAACTTACAAGTAAAATAAGAGAAGCTGTTAATTGACTTTGTATCCACTCTCCGCTATTTGAAAGGTTGGTATGAAATCCAAATAGAAATTGAAAGTCGTCTTCATTGTATTAATATATACGACGACGACTGTATATGTTTAATGATATCAGTGCAAAAAAAGTTTTTCTATAATCAGAGAAAAAATAAAATAAATGTCCTGAACGGTTAATATGAGGAGACCCCACCTTGATATATTCCTGTATGCTCATCCTTTTCTTTAATGTCTATTTTTTCCAAATTTAAATTTATTTCTTGCATGCTCCATTTAAAAACCATCTAAATGTCTCTTTGTGACATTTCGTATTTTTCTCCCAGTTATACTTCAAATGTCAAAAAGAACCACTTTCGTTGTCAATTTTCTTCACGTTTCATACATTTAAAATAAATATTTTTAGTTTTTTAGTTAAAAGCACTTAATAAAACAATTGTGTACTTTACCATTCATATTCACTGAGTAGCGAATTTCATCGAAGCAGTGCTATAAAGTCGTGCTTTCAACATTATTATTTTGGCACGACGTGTCATAAGATAATTTTTTTGGACTAATATTTTTTCAACTTTAACAAAAAAAATTTGTGTGTGTTTTTATTCATTTTTGGCGAAAAGGTTATTATGTTTAAAAATAAGCATTATAACAGACAAGAACACAAACATTTCATATAGTTATGAGTATCATATTATCATATAGAAAATAGTTTTTTAGACTTAAGTTTTCTCATTACAAATGCTTCAACTTTCTCGATTTGTGTCCAAAATATATGATTGTTATCAATATTATTTTTATTCTATGATTTTTAATTCGAATTTGGCAGGATTGTCTAATCTATCCTATAATCTTTTGATATTTTTGTTCCCAGAACACAATAATAGATTTGTAGGTCAGGAGTTGGCAAGATAGAGAGTATCCGGGGTTTATTGACAACTGCAGATCATATCAGTCCTGAGCTGAAAACTTTAGAATGGTGGATATCGATCGATCTCCTCTTTTTTTTAAATATCCAGGTTAAATACTGCTTGTTTTCATTTTGTTATTAATCTTCAGATTAATTAGCCGATCGGGATTAAGGATATTTCATTCTAAAGTTTTCAGCTCTGGATAAAATTTTACAGTTTTCCTTAAAGGGAGTGTTCGAAGTTTAAAAAAAAGGGTAGAGTTTCATTCCACAGCTCTTTTATTATATTTATGGTACACTTTTTACTTGCTAGGTTGGGATCCCAGCTTTATCTGGAACTAAAGTTTCGCTTTAAATGTTAACCTACTTACCCCAAACATCTACCATGGTTCTACCGAGTTTCAAAATTTGAGGCAAATCCTTCAAGGTGTTTTCAAACTTATTACTATTTTTTATTAAGGTTTTCAGCAAAAAGGGTTAATCGTTTTACGAAAAACTAAAAGTTCACCTACAATTTTCCATTTTTTTGCTTTCGTTTGCTCGAGAAAAAAATGCGATAATTTCGCGAATAAATAAATGCAAGATTTTCCGGGAGAAAATGTAAAAATTTTGCGAATATTATACGGAATAGAAATTATTGATTATGATATCATAAAACTTTTAATACTGAGATCTCAGTGCAGAGAATTATTAAGTAAATCATTGATACATTGTTTTCGAATTTTTTTCGCTTCATTCATTTTCGCGAAACATGCGAAATTTCACGAAAAATTTTGCAAAATACAGAAGAAAATTTTTGCATTTTTTCGCTGGAAACCCTACTTTGTTTACCTTTGTATACCTGACATTTTAATGACGCATAAGTACATTGAAAGTCAATGTGAAAAATTCGATCTAATTCGATCCAAAAATATTTTTTCTTCATAAAAAGTTTGATAAATATTTCTGGTACAGGGGTTGATTAACTTAAAATTGAGAACAACAAAATAATGAAATCATACTTCAAGTTGGATATAATTAAGACTAATCCCACGAAAAACTTCGAAAAACATTAAACACAAAAGGGGGATAAAGAATTTTAAAGTTTTTAAATTGATTTTTGCATTTTTTCTCCTAACACATTTAAAAATTAATCTTGGAAAAAAGTTCTGCTCAATCAAATAAATTGGCATACCATCTATAATTTATTCAAAATTTAAAACTTTTAAAACTTTTAATAAGCATTTTTTTTATAAGAAAAAGAATTTATGACATAAAATATATTCTTGAATCTAGAAAATGTATAAAAAGGAACTTTAGGACTTGTTTATCAGGGCGTTATGAATAGGGAACGATCGAAATAAGTTTTTCATTTTGATTTTATTTATTTTCTACAGACATTTCATTTTGAAAAAAAAACAATCGTTTCGAAAACGAACCACTCGTTTTGAACTTTCAAAAAACGAAAAACGATCGCTAATGAAACTGAGTTAATTTAAATTTTTTAGCAAGGTTATGAATGCTGTCTGTTTTTTTTTATCGAAACAAATAACCCGAATGTTTTCTGATCTCGGATTTTCCGACCAAAAATGTATTTTTCTATAAAAGGTCGTTAATCATCGTTAAAATAGGGTCTTTGTTAACGGTCGTTAACGAATGGCCGTCGTTAAAGGTCGTGAAGGAAGGGTCGTTATAAAAAACGAGCGTGTTTAAAAACGACAGTTTAAAAAGAACTAAACTTCGTTTTTCTAAAAAGTGGAAACGATCCAGCCTTAGTTAGTATTCGTATAACTATCAAAAATGTATATTTAAAAATTCACAACAGTGCAAAGTTTGCTGTATAGTTCATAGGGACTGTTCTAGTCATTTTATTAAAACTCCATTTAAAAGAGGAACATGTCCGATTCTCAACGGTACCCTTTAAACCTTGATCTGTTTTTAGTTATTAAAGTGTTAAATTCTGTTGATTTCTCCATTGTTCCAGATACAAAAAAAGGTAACCATTGTAAGAAAAAACACAGATATTTAATTCATACTTGATCCGACAACATTTTGAAAAGTATTCATGTAAATATATCTGTAAATATATAGTTCATTTAATAGACTGAAGAGTTGTATTGTAAAGCACTATATAAGTGATAAAAGCGCTCAAAGGCATAAAGTGAATCCCGGATTGAAAGTTGACACCCCATCTTTTCTTTTCTTTTAAATCATAAATCAAGTCCCATGAGACAATTCTAGATGTTGATATGTCTCAGGAAGGATTCAACGAAGAATTCTATTCAATTCTGTTTTTAGAAATTTTTTGATATTCCTTGTTCATCAATGAACCATTTGTGCTGACACTTTTATTCTTAAGTATTAAAGGGAGAAGAGACGATTTTTAAATTAAAAAAGGGAAATTACTTTTTATATATTTATGCTTTTCAAAAAGTTTATTATGTCTAGAAATAACTATCATGCTATGACATTATGTACACAATTACATCATAAAATTACCTAATAACACAAACAATATTTGGCACGACGTTCTATTAAGTTTTTGAACTCAAATTTTCTCTGTATTTGGAGGTTTAAAAAAGATTGTATTTAGTCCCGTGCTTTAGCGAGAAAGACTGCAAACCAAAATAGAGGTCGCTGAACTCCCAACCGCAAGTTTAAATTCTTAACCACTGATTCAAATCCTCATAAATCTATAACTTTGAATCGCTGGTTTTTAACTGGCGCGTCAGGTAGTTCAACGATCTAGCTCAAATTTATAAATTTCTTCCTGTAAAAAGTTTAAAGGCCCTATATATTATTACCTATTATTTGACAGGTTGAAAGCATTTGAACTGTTTGGGTAGAGTAATGGCAGAAACATCATTAAACCATTTTATTCTGAAATAAACAACTGATATTACATCGGAAATCACAGGTTGCAAGTTTATACATATTATAATATCAGATTATCTCACAAACTTTAGCGCTAAAAAAAACCAGAGCTGAAAACTTTAAAATGAGATATCCTTAATCCTGATCGCTTAATCTGAGTATCCAATGTACAAACTTTTGATTTGATTTTTAATCCTCTTTTTTGGATATCCCTAAAATATAGATAACAATTACAGATACAATGCTATATCGATTGAACTAATATCCGATTGAACTAAAGTCAGCTGTTCACAAGCCGACTTTTAGAGCATTTAAGCAAATATAACTTTAAGTTAATATGAAGCTATTATAAAATATATTTATCACATTTTAGGACTATTATCATTTTAAACATTAGTCTTAACAAACATTAATCCAAAACTTACATTTATTTAATCGATGTTTTGGTCAATTGATATGACACAGTTAACACCAGGAAAAAAAAACCGGTCAGAAGTTAAAGAGTACATCTTAACATGATACTCTAATTGGTTAAATTCTATACGTCCTTCTTGGATATCGAATGCGTATTAAAATAATCTCGGGTTTAGTAAAACCAGAAGTTTAAGCATTAAACTTAATATCCATCATTCTAAAGTTTTCAGCCCAGCTTGTTCTAAACAAAACTTATTTTGATTTTCCCCAAAAAATCCTTTATATAAGCTATGCACATCGCACATTGTGCAATCCATATATAGATATAATATGCATATAGAAAATGTTGAAAGTTAAATTTTAATCTTTAAAAATTTTTATACAAATTTGAAATCTAAATTCTCCCATTGCTGAATGCTGATTACCACTTTTTAAGTCAAGGCCAATACAAGTTGAAAAATCAGTGAAAAACTGTATCGTTCTAGAAAGAGACAAATAAGTAAATTCTTCAACTTCTAAATCAAATTGGGAAACGTGAAAAGCTTCTAATCAAAACTTTCAAAACCTTAGCACTTTTTATCAATATATCTAAATAAGGGAAAAATGAAAGTTCATGCAAATCATAATTAAGAAATTCCAAATCAATATTTAATTGTCCTTTTTGGCTTTATGCACGTTTAACAAATATGAGGCTTAAAGTTTGGGTAGAGTTCAATTGCCATCTAAATATAAATAATTTGGAATTCCATTTTTAAGTTAGTTATATTCAAGAAGCCTTTTAAAACTATTTATTTCAAGAGTTAGTATGCAAAGAATTTGGCTTTCTCGTCTCAATTCAATGAATTTGCATTTCATGAACTTTGTCTTTCATGAGTTTGTATTTCTTTAGTTTGTCTTTCATGAGTAAGTCTGTCATGAGTTTGTCTTTCATGAGTAGGTTTTTCAGGAGTTTGTCTTTCATAAGTATGTATTTCATGAATTTGTCTTTGATGATTTTGTCTTTCATTAGTTTCTCTTGATAAGTTTGTCTTTCATAAGTATATTTTTAGTGAGTTGTCTTTCATAACTTGGTCTTTTATGAGTTTGTCTGTCATGAGATTGTCTGTCATGTGTATGTCTTTTGTGAGTTGTCTTTCGTAAATTTGTCTTTCATGAGTTTGTCTTTCTTTAGTTTGTCTTTCATGAGTAAGTCTTTCATGAGTATGTTTTTCGTGAGTATGTCTTTCGTGAGTTGTCTTTCGTAACTTTGTCTGTCATGAGTTTGTCTTTCCTGAGTATTTTTTTCAGGAGTTTGTCTTTCATAAGTATGTATTCCATGAATTTGTCTTTCATGATTTTGTCTTTCATGAGTTTGTCTTTTTAAGTTTGTCTTTCATAAGTTTATTTTTAGTGAGTTGTCTTTCATAAATTGGTCTTTCATGAGTTTGTCTGTCATGAGATTGTCTTTCATTAGTTTGTCTTTCATGAGAAAATACAGTATTGTCAACTTTGCCTAGACGGCTGAACCGACGAGATCCAGATCATAATATGAATTATTAATAAGGAAGGGCCGGTAGTTTTCTTTTATGCATCATGCAATGCAACCTTTAATCAATCTTCAATTTTGAACAAAGATATACATTTTTGTAAGGTACAAATTCAAAGATAAAAGAGAAAAACCAACCCACACATTCAAAAAAATGTTGGCATTATTTCTCTGTCTATTGGAAAATCTTAATTTAGATAAATTAGTTGCCATATACCAGCCATATACCAGCCATATACCAGCCATATACCAGCCATATACCAGCCATATACCAGCCATATACCAACCATATACCAGCCATATACCAGCCATATACCAGCCATATACCAGCCATATACCAGCCATATACCAGACATATACCAGCCATATACCAGTCATATACCAGCCATATACCAGCCATATACCAGCCATATACCAGTCATATACCAGCCATATACCAGCCATATACCAGTCATATACCAGCCATATACCAGCCATATACCAGTCATATACCAGTCATATACCAGCTAAACTATGTTTCATTAAAGGGACTGTACACGTAATTTCAAGTGACACTCAATATTACATGTCTGATTCAACACTGCACCCTTCAAACTTTAACTGTATGACAATGATTAAGATATCTTCGTTCTTCCATCTGGAAAATAAATAATAATAATATTCTCATAATTTTCTTTTCTGTCTTTTCAGCATAAATCCGCAGGTTAATTTAATTGAGAAACCCTTAATTGTAAATTTTTTTTTCCAGAAGAAAAAAAAGAATATTTCGTTCATTCTTGATCAGGTTTAGAGGATATCGTTCTAACCATCATCAATAAAATGAAGGCCACTTAAAATTACATCTACTTCTTAATAAAATGTTATTTATAATCTTCATGTCTGAATTATAAATAAATTCTGTTTCTGTTTTCTATTTTCATATTTGCCACCAAATATCTATTTATAGTACAGGATTAGGTTTCAAATTTTAAAGATGTTTTTGAATATAAAATGCTTTTAGAATTTGTTTTGGAGTAAATATAAAAAAAACATCTTTGGTCTTTACAATTTATATTGAAACCTTAGATCTTTTCAGAAAAAGAGTTTATAAAAGGTCTGCTTGCAAATTCAGTTTTTTTATTTTTATTTTTTATTCACGAAATCATGAGAAATATAAGGGAACTGAATTTGTGCCACTAACTTTTTATTCTAATTTCATAACTTTTTAACCTGACGAGTAAACCATATATATTTTAAAATATGAATTCTTTGCAAATAGTCTAAGTTTGATACATCAACATGTAACCATCAGGCTGTAAATATAGATGGACAAGTAGTAGTTCCCTGGTCGGAAAGAACTCTATTGCAGGAAACACAGTGGATATGGGTCTATACTCATTTTATATTACGAAATCCTGAATTTGCGAACAAAATGGATAAAACACAATTTCCAGCACTTTATAAGCTGAAAGGTGATATCCTTAATTGGAAATTTCTCCTACAAATTCTGGTTAATAGGCGAAACATGATGCATGCAAACTTCTCATAGACCCAAGCTATATATGGCTTTGATTTTACAGCAATAACTTTATAGCTTTTTTATAGCAATAGATATGTTAATTTTAGAAACCTCAAGCACTTGTTTTCAGCCCCAGTTTTTAAAAAGTAATTTACAAAATTAAGAATGATTTTTGCGGGAGAATTTTTATTAAATTTAATTCTTAGATCTTTCAAAAAAATGGCAGGTTTTTAAATCAGAGGAGGTATGAGATAAATACCAGCCATGTTGCAAAACCAGAGGAGGTACCAGATAAATACCAGCTGTTTTGCAAAACCAGAGGAGGTACACCAGCCATGTTGCAAAACCAGAGGAGGTACCAGATAAATACCAGCTGTTTTGCAAAACCAGAGGAGGTACGAGATAAATACCAGCCATGTTGCAAAACCAGAGGAGGTACCAGATAAATACCAGCTGTTTTGCAAAACCAGAGGAGGTACGAGATAAATACCAGCCATGTTGCAAAACCAGAGGAGGTACGAGATAAATACCAGTCATGTTGCAAAACCAGAGGAGATACGAGATAAATACAAGCCATGTTGCAAATATATGACCTTCTCCTTGTGTCTAGTTTGCAGTGAAACATAAACATTTGAAAATACAATTATAAAAGAAAGATTTGTTTTTAGAGAGACTTTTCTAAATTCTTAAAATCTGAAAGCAATTAATCAAGATGTGAAAGTTTCAGCAAGCTTAATGATACTTCACATGCAATCTTTATCATGTTTTAGGGAATATACCTTTTCTTTTATGCAATCCATCATAACTTTAAACAGGCGGACGGGAGGGGAGGCGTTTAGTACAGGGCGGTAAAAAGTCCGGTCTGTGTAAACAAATCTAAAATAGCTCATAACTTATTTTGGACTAAAGCTACAGATCAAAAAACTATATTTTTGGGAAGCCCTTGAAAAATGGATTTAGAAACATGTGTCTTACTTTGGAATTTGTTTAAAACAAAAAAATTATTACAGTTTTTTTACCTTTTCTGGCATTTTTTTAATTATCCCTAACACCCAAACTAAAAAAGTTATCGATTTAATTTTTTTCAATGAGCTGGCATTGAAAAATTGGGCTATGACATGCATTTCAAGCCTATACCTATTCTCTAAGGCCTTTTTCTAGGCGGGGGGAGGGGAATGGGACGCCCCCTTGGCCCCCAGTCTAGACTTAGATTCAGACAGCCTTTACAGGGTTAATACATATAGATTTATCACAGTGATTAATAATTTTCAAGGGCTCCCGCAAGAATCGATTAGAGATTTGAGTTATAAATCTAAGATGTACAATAACTTGTCTTAGGGGGAAAAAAACATTAAAAATTTGTTAAAGAGGTTAAATCAAATGCCAAGCTTCGTGTGACAAAGTCTTAAAAATCTAAAGCAGTCTTAATCTATATATGTGGTATGACTTAAGTGACCCCAGCTTTTCCATAACGATAAACTTTCTAGCTCTATAAAAGTCAACCTACTCAACTTAGAATGTTTAAACCAAGCTAACAACATTCCCGTGGTTTTACCGAGTTCCTCAATTAA